CTGAAACCATGTTGAAAGGAGCTAAGAAGCTAGCTAGGCATGAGAATGGCGAGAGGTTTTGGCTAGGGAGAAAAGTGAGGAGAGAAAAGAGAGGGATACAAGAAGGGTGTTGTACCCTCTACAATAGGATCCATTGTAGGACATCTAACACCTACCAAGCCTACACAAATATGTGTAAATAATACATAAGTTGACAGACACAATATGTGGCTCTGCAAAACTAGAAATCATGAGAAACATTTTCTCGCTATCGAATCCAATGCATGTACGTTACGTATCAAAGCAACGTCGGTGTTCGCCGTTGAGCACCTGACACATCTGTGTAGGTGCACTGCGATCGAACAACCCTTGCCACTCGCATTTACTCACATGCGTCCAACTAGTACTGTTCGCTTCCACTATACAATTTAGTTTTGCCTGGCAAAATAACCTTCCACGTTACATTCCGCCGTGGCTCAGTCAGTGACGTGAAGTGTAAAGTAGAATACGTGTACAGTAATCAACTTGGACAGAGCCGCAACTTCCGCGTTTCTCCCATGTGACGTAAAATAAAGAGTAATTTGCTGACAGACCAGCAACATTGAGCTGCTGATCTTTACGGTTCAGATTTGTCCTCACAACTCAAGCACGTTACTTTTCTGATCCGCGTCATTACGAACAATTCTGAATCACTAAAATTTGCGTGGGTTTTTTGTTTGATCGATGGAAAGACGATCTCCACTATTCACAAAGCGACAAATGGGAAACACCCTGATTACAACCGAACTCCCTTGATTTTCGTGAATCTTTTCGCTAGGGGCTCTAACTTCGTTATCCACATCACAATTGTCTCATCAGTACACAAATAAAACAAGCATGTGTTTTAGCCATTTGGACCAATACGGCAATGGCGTTCAAAATATCTCCAATACATATTCGCTAGACGCATGGATCATTCACATTGCATTGAAAGTGGATAGAATTCGCATTTATCCTTTTAGTGAGAACCACATTTTCGTGTGAAAATCTTATTTTCAAGAAGAAAGAGTCCCATGTTTGTGGCCTTTGTTTTTATCTTGCATGTATAAAACATATTTTGTTGTAACTTTAGAGAGGGCATGGATCATTCATATTGAAATGACAATGAACAGAATTTGCATTTATCCTTCTAGTGAGAACCACCTTTTTATGTGAAAATCTAATTTTCAAGAAGAGTCCCATATTGGTGGCCTTAGGAAAAAATAAAATAAAAAAATGCTTGTGATATTATGAATACCCATTGTTTTGCCAATTCACTTGACATTCAAACGTTTATCCATTTTATGTAGTAAATATTTCCTCGTTCTGTTTATTCTTGATGAGGCCGTTTTGACGCGCATAGCAAAGTTAGCGCCCCTAGCGAATGGATTAACTGAAATCGGGGGAGTACAGTTGCAATTACGAGGTTGATAGACGTGCTTGCCCATCTGTCACTTTGTGAATGGTGGAGATCAGGCCCCCAGATATCAGCCTTTTTACACTAATTCAACCTTTTTTCAGCCTTTTGTTTTTTGTACCTACGCTGAACTGTAAGACTTTTTTAGATATGTAGGCAAGGCTGACAAATTCAGACTTTTTTTTAATAGTGAAGCGTGATGATTTCAGCATTTTTGGTGGGGTGTAGGCTGATGTTTTAGCAAAGTCTCTGGGGGGGAGTCTGAAACCGAATACAGTGAGATTTGCGTCCCCCCGAGATTACTGCATCCAGTCACACATACCCCTTAAGTTTTTCTCGAAGTCCTTGAAAACCAGTCACACCCCCCTCATACCCTCGGCAACCTAAAAGATTTTGTCGAAGTCCTCTAAACCAGTCACACCCCTCTCATACCCTCGGCAACCGAGATTTGTCGAAGTACTCGTATATCAGTCATACCTCACAAATACCCTCGGCAATCCGTAAGAATTTGATTGAAGTCACTCACACCCCTCCCGTTATCCCCGAAACCTAGGAGAATTCGTTGAAGTCCCTAAACACCCCTCAAACTTTCCCCCCACTAGCCTTGAACGGCCTGTCAAAACAAAAACTATCGCAACAGGCATGAAACCAGACAAGGCCAGACCCAACACACGCATCCCAGACCCCTGCGCCAGTCACGCTGGCGCGAAAATACTAGGGCTTTCCACGACGTGTTTCTACATAAACAAATGTCACCATATCTCGTGTCAAAATGTGGTTGAGATGCAAAGTTGACGGGCAAAATCTCCACTGACACGAAGTTGCATGGCATCTTGTCGCGTAGGATCACGCCCTCAGTGTCAAACATATATTTACATGTTACTATAGGCTAAATAGGTGCGTATTGCGCCTGTCCCTATCTTCTAGAGTTGTGCTCCCTCTCGGTGCACTTACAGTACTCTGACATTTCTGACGTCACGTTTCTTGTCCCGGACAAGCTCACTGCCCGCACCGTCCATTGTGTTTTCCTCGGTTTCCTCCTCAACGCGTCAGACAGGCACTTCATGGTCCGCACTCCCCCGGTAACTCCTGCTCCTCTTCCGCCCCGTCCTGCCCCGTCAGGTGTGTCTCGCGTTACTCCCCTCCTGTCGGTTCTTCCGGTGGAGGAGTCAGCTGACTCCGCGGGCCCCGCTGCTTCGGTTTTGCTGCCCGCCTCTGCCCCGTTGTCTCCTCCTCCTCCTCCGCCGCCGCCGCAGTAACCACCGTCGCTGCCGCAGCCGTAGCAGCAGTCACTGTCGTCGCAGCCACAGCAGTAGCAGCCGCCGCTGTCCGCGAGCTCTGGGGGTGTAGGTGTTGAGGAGGGTGCTAGTCCTGGAGGTACTGTCGTGGCTTGTCCCGGCAGTCCTGGGGGTGTCATCGGTGCTGGAGGGGGTTCTCATTCTGGGGGTGCTATCGTGGAGTATCCCCGAGGTAGCAGCGCTGCTCCTGGAGGTTCTGGTGTAGGTGTGGAGTAGTAACCACAGTCTCCGCCGGTGTTCGCCCTTTGCCTCCTCGATCTTCCCTCCCCTAACCGCCTGCCCCCGCCTGTCTCGGTCCTGTGTTTCCTCCGCCGGACTCGTCTCCCGCTCGTTCCCCCCCCCGTTCTCCTCCTGTGTCTCCTCCTATGTCTCCTGACCCGACGCCTTCGTCCCACTTCTAGTCTCGCCGTCCCTCTCGTACTCGTCCTGTCTCTCCTGTCCAATGCTCTCACCCTATGTTGCTTCCTTCCCACACGTCTCGTCCTCCCCTCCTCCCGTCGCCTCCTCCGTCGTCGCTGGTTATCGCTCCGCCTCCCCTGTATGACTTCCCCCCTGCCCCTAGTCCTCTTGTTCATCGGGTCCTCGCCTCACTTGTTACCGACTCGTCTGTTCCTGTCTCCAGTCTTCACGCTCTTGTTATTACTGTCACTGACTTTGCCTTTAGCTGCCGCCTTGACTACGCCACCACTCTGGTCTCTGACCCTGCCCATCCTCCGTCCATCGGAGGTGTTGACTCCTTCACTCGCGCTTCTATTCGCGAGCGCATGTTCCCCTCTATTGCCTCTTTCGTTTGCGTTCTCATTTCTTGGGTTTTGAGTCTCAACACATGTGCTCTCTCTTATCTTTCCTCTGGCCACCTCTTGCTCTCATGCTCATATGGTGTACGTGCAAGTGTTTTTGTTGCTTTCCCCACTTATGGGCTATACCGCGTGCATGCGCGCATGCTTTCGAGACGCGTCTTTTTTTCTTCTTCTTCTTTTGGTTAATGATTAAATAATGATTAAATCATAATAATTATTATTAATGCCAAACTAGGTAGCCCCAGATGAGGCTGGTGTGGCTGCTCTTGTATGCCCACAGAGGGGCGATGCTTAGGGTCCAGGGTGTAGCACACCGGGTTGGAGGGTATGCCTCTCGTGGAGCTCGCATAATGCTTGATATATATATATATATATATTTTTTTTTACATGTCCAATCGATGAGCTGCTATGTGGGGGTAATTGGCAGGCCATTGGTGTTCTCGATGGCCTTCCTTCTCTGGCCGGGGATGCTGCATGACATGTTGCGAGGGTTGAGCCACCCACTATGCTTCCTCGTTTCGCGCTTCTCCGATCCCCCCCTTCTCCCTCCCTTTTTTTTTGTTTTTTTGTTTCTTGTTTTTTTCCTGCACCTCTTTTGGTGTTGCTTTCCCATTTCTCTGGTTGTATTTAAGGACCAAGAACCTCCAAAAACAGAGAGCCACGGCTCCTTATTTAAAACAAAATACACCGCTACTCAACCATGCTCCTAGGCATGGAAAGTCCGCCCCGCAAGGTCGGGCTATCATTTGGGACCGAGGGGGTCTGTTCACCTTCCCTTGCTCTGAGCCTAGGGCCTTCAAATGGCCTATATTGGGGCTGGCCCTCCGCCACCCGTGCCCCTATGGGGTGGGCCCAATGGCCTACGCACACACCGGGTGCCTTTCGCCTTGCGTCACTTGCACAAGCGCCCACGGCCCGACCCCTACACTACGGGTGCAAGTCCTTGGCCACCATGCCCATTCGCCGGGCAGCCGCTGGCCACATGCCCCGGTTGGCCACAGCGGAAGCAACTGCCTCGGAAGCCACGGAATTCTCCCGTAGGCGGCGGACCACGCTTTGGCGCGAACGGCATGGGCATGCGGCCGCCTCCACGATTGTCACGAGCAAAAGCGCCCTCGGCGCAGTCCATAGTAGCCACATCAGCGACGGCCTGTTTGAAAGGCCTGGAGGTAAGCAGGCTCTTCTGCTGGTACAGCTTGAAACGCTTGGTCGTGCGGAAGTCGGAAGCATCTTCGACTTGGAGGACTTCGAAGCGTCGTGATATGAGGGCGAGCGCGTCGGCGAGGAATTTGAGGCCGCCCGGCGCGTCGTCGTTCTGCATCTTGTACTCCGCGTGCTTCAGGTATGCCCGAAGGTCCTCCAGGATTTCCGCTTGCTCGCGCACGGCCGCGTTGAGGAAGGACGCTGCCGAGGGTGTGGTGTTAGTGGTCGGAAGGGGTGGGAGGTGCTCCATGGGAATTGAATTTGCAGCAATACCGGGGACCTCACCAGCGTCATTGTTGGAGTCGTCACTGTCGTTGTCGGCAGGCGGGGCAGGCGGGATGCTGACAACGCCGTCTTTGGCGAGGCATGGCGTTTTGGTTCCGCGTGTGGCCCTTTCTTCTTCTTCTTCTTCTTCTTCTTCTTCTACTTCTTCTTCTTCTTCTTCTTCTTCTTCTTCTTCTTCTTCTTCTTCTTCTTCTTCTTCTTCTTCTTCTTCTTCTTCTTCTTCTTCTTCTTCTTCTTCTTCTTCTTCTTCTTCTTCTTCTTCTTCTTCTTCTTCTTCTTCTTCTTCTTCTTCTTCTTCTTCTTCTTCTTCTTCTTCTTCTTCTTCTTCTTCTTTGCAGGTTCTTTTTTAGCAGGTGCAGAAGCAGCAGGTTGAGCAGTTTCGGCGACCGTAACACCGCCTGCTGCTGTAACAGCGTCAGCAGCGCGTTGACCTGCGCGGGGGTCAACGAGGGGTTCAAGGTCGGGGTGGGCAATGCGTCAGACGAGGCAGCCACGTACCCCCTTTTGCGTTGGCGAGAAGAACCCGCTACTTGCGGCGCTAGCGCGTGCTGCAGCTCGGCGTTAGGCGCGTGTGGCTGGCCTTGCCCAGCCACTTGCGCGCGCGGCTCGGAAGGGGGCGGGGGCGCGTCAGCAGGCTGATTGTTGACCTCACCCCCTCCCCCCAGAACGTCAACCCTAGTTGGGGCAGACACCCCTTCTTCTGCCCGACGCTTGTTCCGCTGGTCGCCCGCAATTTCTGGGGCTTGGTGAGCATGTTATAAAGCTAGGTTAGCTAGGAAGGTAGGCGGCCATGAAATGGCGAGAGGTTTAGGAGCTAAGAGAGAAAGTTACAAGAGAAAAGATGGCAGCCAGAAGAGAGAGAGGCATACAAGGAGGGGGTTTGTACCCTCTACAGTAAAGTTCAATAACCTATCAAGCCTACCAATTATATTACACATTATATAATTTAACACACCCCCTAGGCTTGGTAGTCACAAGCCCACCCAACACACACACCCCGTAACCCCTTACACCCCCAAGCTCGTGATCAACCGGGTATCTACCCCTCGGGCTTGGCATGGTGACATCCCCCGGCGAGAGGCAGCGTGGGCTACGGCCATGGCTGAAGGCTCTCGGCGGTGTGGCACGGCGAGGCGACGACCGGGTAGAAGACAGCAGCTGCGGCAGGAGGAAGAGGAGACGCAGGGGAAGGGGGGGGGGGGGGGAGGAGGGGGGGGGGAGGGGGGGAGGGGCGAATCTTCAGCCACGTGCCATGGCTGGCGCGGCGCTTACTGGCTGACGAATCTTCAGCAGCGTGCCATGGGTGACGCGACGCTTACTGGCGGGAGGGCGTCACGGCTGGCGCCTGGGACAGGGCGCTGGCCGTAGCCGTCCGTGCGCTGGCGTGCCGTCACGGCAGTACGACGGCACGGCAGCACGGCGCCCCAGCAGCACGGCGGCACGATGACACGGCGACATGGCGTCGCTGAGGCACGGCTCAGCGTCTCGGCGGCGCAGAGTGATGGGGCCGGCGCGGCGTGACGGGGCTGGCGCGGAATGACGTGGCCGGCGCGGAGGGACGGGGGCCAGCGCGGCGTGACGGGGCCAGCACGGCATGACGGGGCCAGCGCGGCGTGACGGGGCCAGTGCGGCATGACGGAGGGGAGTACGCTGCGGAAGCGTGAGGAGAAGGCCCGAGCGAAAGTGGCCTACTCTGAAACCATGTTATGAAGCTAGGTTAGCTAGGAAGGTAGGCGGCCATGAAATGGCGAGAGGTTTAGGAGCTATGAGAGAAAGTTACAAAGAGGGCAACTAGAAGAGAGAGGCATGTGAGGGGGGTTGTACCCTCTACAGTAAAGTTCAATAACACATTATATAATTTAACAGAGTAGACTCGGAATTGGGGTGGCCGGTTGCGACGCTGGACTCACCGCGATTATTCGTAGTTAGAGCCATGGCGGATTGGGTAAACTTAAAAATATAGGGAAAAAGGGTTGAAGGAGACTGGCCGCGAGGCAAAGTTCTAGTCTTAAAGGGGACGGGAGAAAAGTTTTTTTTTTTTTTTTTTTTTTTTTTTTTAAAGCTTGAACGGGAGAAAAGGCTAGAGCGGGAAAAGTTGACTGAACCGTTTGAAAAATGAGAGACGTGGGTGGAGGGAAATGAGCTCCAACCCACGTATTTGTAGTTGGAGAAGGGCGAGTAGCGCATTGCGACGATATCCTAAGTTTCAGTATAATTAGCTTCGCTTTTACAATACACAATTTAGAAAAACAGAGCATGTGTTTAAAAAATATAATGTTGAGGAAGCTTGGAACCTTCCAAAATTCCCTGCAGAACGCAGCCATTGAACACAACGGGGTAGTGTCATTCCATTCAGTTATGCAGAGATGTACACTACTCTAGGATCTCTAATGAGCGGTAGCATAATGTTTCCCTTGCTGCTAGTATTGAAAGAAAATCTAAACGAAATCAAGTCCAACGCTGATGAAACTAGCCTTCTCCTGTGATATACCGAGGGCCATTCTCCACCACCCCTCTTCCTCCTCCCTTACAGCATGCGGCACAAGAGCTGTAACACCCGGCTGGCAAGGTAAATCAGAAAAGCGCCAGTTGCAGAGGAGGTGCTAAGTGTTCCTCCTAGCAGGACAAAGGCCAGGAAACTGCCCCAGAGAAGGCTCGTGGTGATAATGAGAGTGGCCGTGGGGACGCACGAACAAACCAGAGCGCACATGCCTGCAGATCCATTCACAGCACCAGGATTCACCCCGTCAACCCAAGAGCCAGCTTGGCAGGAAAGACCTAGGGCGGTTTGCATTCTGCTGCTGCTGAGCCGCCTGCACAGCCGCACCCAGCGAAGGCATCACCCCCGGGCCCGCCTGCGCAGGCTGCGCGGACTGCGCCGCAACCGACTGCTGCCCGAACCTCCCTCCCCTTCCATGGTGCCCGTCGTCCCTATCCCCTTGTCCGCCCTCCCCCCGCCCGTTCCCCTCATCATGTCCCCCGCGCCCCCCGTGCCCCCCATGCTCCTCCCCATAATCGTCATCGTCGTCACCGTGATGGCCATCATGGTGGTCGTCGTAATCATCATCACCATATCCGCCATAGTCGCCACCGCCGCCAGGGGGAGAGGGATCCGAGCCAGGCGCGGGATCCGACCCCTGCGCGGGCGTCTGCGACGCCTCCCATTCCTGCTCCGCCTCCATTGCCAGATCTTCCGCCGCCTGCGCCGCCACGGATGCCTTCTCCGCCGCTTTCTCTGCGGCCACGCGGAGAGCTTGCAACTTTGCGCGCTTGACCTTCGCGCGGGTGACCTTCTCCGCGGCCGTCTTCACGCCCTGCTCCGCCGCCTTCGCCTGCGCATCCGCCGCCCGAGCGTCGGCTTCCGCCTGGACCGCCGAGGATTCCGCCGCGTTTGCCGCGTCGAGCGTCGCCTGGTCCTGCGGGGTCAGCGTGGCGGCAGCGAGCGCGCTTCGCGCCTTAGTCAGCGCAGCAGACGCCTTAGACTCCTCCTTCGTCGCGGCATCGACATTCTTTTTCAGTTCCGCGGCCCTCTTCTGTTCTTTCGACGCCTTCTGACCCGCGGCGCTCCGCGCGCCTGAGCTCGCAGCGGCGGCGGATGCGCTGTTCGCGACGCTCTGCTGCGCGGCGGCGCATCTCAAAAATGCCGGGTCGTTTTACATACCGCCAGTATACCGGGAGCATACTGGTTAGTATGGTTTTCCCGTTGTTTTTTTGTGCTACTATCTGGTAGAATGTGCCGTAGGTTTTTGGTATGCTCTAGAAGTATACCAAACAGCAGCCCCCCATTTGCATACCGTTTGAAAGACTGAATCATATCTTCAAACATGTTTTTGATTCCCAACTAGTAGGCATATACCTGCAGTCAAGTATTTTCTCATAGTATATAATTTCAGGGTACTAACTTATGAAGTCTTGCACAATTAGTAGATACTCAATATCCATAATAGCACCATGAATATTATTACATTTTGCATGCATAATGGCAAGCACCAATTGCATCGGGCACAGGCTGGTAACGTGTTTGACAATGTATTGCTCATTCATTATTATAAGCAACATACACGTTCATAGCATGGTGCAAACAACCATCCCTTACCTGCACTACAGCTCCTCCCATTCCTCATACCCCTCCTCCACAGCCTCCTTGCCCACACCCCCTGACACGGTCTTGCCGTGCTTCTGCTGCCGCATCTTAGCATACCGCAGTTTGCGCCGCACCTCCTCCTTGTCCCATGCGTCCGGATCAGCACCCTGTGGGATGTGATCCTTGAAGCCACTGCCAGAGATGACCACCGACTTTGTGGCGCCAAACACCCAGCCCTGGTACTGGTCCGACCAAGGAGGCAGCTGGTCGGCAGGTGTGTCCTCCAGAATCTTGATGATCCACGCCTTCACCTTGGTATGGTAGTCGGCGATGTCGTCAGCATTGAGGCTTGGGTCCGTTGAGATCCGCTTCCCATTCTTCTTGTGGTTGACTATGGCGTACTCCACCTGGCAAGGGGATGGGAAAGGGGCAGGCAAGGGGATGGGAAAGGGGCAGGCAAGGGGATGGGAAAGGGCCAGGCAAGGGGATGGGAAAGGGGCAGGCAAGGGGATGGGAAAGGGGCAGGCAAGGGGATGGGAAAGGGGCAGGCAAGGGGATGGGAAAGGGGCAGGCAAGGGGATGGGAAAGGGGCAGGCAAGGGGAGGGGGATTGGGCAGGGGAGGTTAAAGGGGGTTGACAATTAAACTGTGCTGAGGGTGTCACATACCATGGCCGGTTCCCATGTAAAATCTGGAAACACACCGAGTGCTTGAGATATAGGGCGGATGATGGGGAAGTGGAGGGAGAGGCAAACGACTAGAGGGCAAAGACCGAGGGAGTTGAGAAAAGACGCGTCATGCAACAAGGACTGTTGCATGGACTGAAGCGTTGCCTAGAAGGGTGATGCTGGTGCATCCGGGAACAGAAAAAAAGGAAAGGGTAGGGGTTGGAGGGAGGAGATCAGTGTGCAAATACCGATGGTGGTAAAAAGGGGGAGAGGATAGGTTAGAGCTGAGGGTGTCATGGTAATAACGGCACCTCATACCATGGCCGGTTCCCATGTAAAATCTGGAAACGCACCGAGTGCTTCTGATATAGGACGTGTGATGGGGAAGAGGAGGTAGATGCAAGGGACTAGAGGGCAGAGAGTGAGGGAGTTGAGAAAAGAGGCACCATGCAACAAGGACTGTTGCATGGACTGAAGCGTTGCCTAGAAGGGTGATGCTGGTGCATCCGGGAACAGAAAAAAGGGCAGGGTAGGGGTAGGAGGGAGGAGATCATTGTGCAAACACCGATGGCGGTTGAACATGCCAATTGCCACACACCACATCATGAAAGAGCCAAGGAAAGGGAAGGGGTACACAGAAGAAGGGGGGTGGGGAAAGGCATATGTACTGCATAGAAACGAACAGCCACTTACCAGGAACAAGATGTAGGCAATGTGATATGCCTTTACCACCGTCTTCAACCCCCCGGCACCCTTCTGCAGCGCATTCCGCAAAGTCAAATCAAACAATGCGGTGGCAAAGGGGCGTTCATTTTCGTCGTCCACATGCCACTGGAGCATGCCTCCTCTTTCTGTTGATTGGGAATGGGCGAAAATATATATACAGAATGGATGCTGCCGGGAAAACACTGAAGGGCAGAGGATCAATAGCAATACATCCATTGCATTATTCGCAACAATCACAAACCGACAAAGAGTAAGGTTGCAAGACAAGAGGCTCACCGAGGGGCTTTACGCCGTCCAGGTTGTACACCTTGGTGTACGTTAGCGCGGCGGGTGCTACGAGCGCGGAGTAGTCGTACTTGAGCCTCGGGTTGCATTCGCATGGCAAACCAAACCCATCCGCCACCACCTTCCGTGCGTGCATGCTGATGCGCCCACGCCAGTCGTTGGGCTTATCCTTGAAGGTGTCCTTCCGCGCCGAGTCATACAGCAGCACGTTGCCGAGGGCCTCCTCCATATCCTCTCCCCAAACCATGACCAAGGACTCGGACATCAGGTAGTCCGCCGGGTACATGGTGGTCTCGTCGTCGGGTTGGTGGAACAGGCTTATCTGCGTCGCTATCTCCATCATTTCCTGCCACGGGTGAGACAGAAAGGAGGAAAGACAAACTTGGTATAAAATTTGCAATAGCTACATGTTGCACACTATGTATAAGAATTCGATCCAGTAAACGGACAGCCTATGCATTCCACCCACCCCACCCCTCGGCCCTCCATGCCCCTTAAGACCAAAAACCCTGAACTTACATTCCATGGCTTGCCTTTTGGAGGCAGTAAGGCCATCATTTCAACCGCCCGCCTCGGAATACCACTCATGCAGACAGAGCGCACCAAGTCCATGCCACCAGCCGGGTCCTCAAACGCCGGGAATTTACGCTTTGCCGGGAGTTGTTTGGCTCGTGCTTGCGCCCCACGGTCCACATGCATCGCCGACGCGCTGGCAGCATCCAGGCGGGGGGCTGCCGCCCGTCCACCAAGAGTCGAGTTGGGAGAGCCAATGCCCGTCGGGGAGCTGCGGGGGGAGCCATCAGAAGGCACGCCGGCAAAGAACGGCACCGTGGGTTGCTTCTCGGAGGGCCACGCCTTCAGGAGAGACGCAATCTGCAGGCTTTGCTCGCGCACCGTTCGCTGCAACTCCGCGATCCTCGCATTGTCGCCACCTAGACCTGTGTCGTTGGATGGACCGGCCTCGTTAACGTCAACCCCTGGCACTCCAGCAAGAGGTGACGCCTGCGGAGGAGGGATGCCGGGTCGGGCGTCAGCACGGGTCTGGATGTCATGGAGGCTGGCATGTCTGCCCGTCTCACCTGCATAAGGGACGGATTGGGTGAGCGTACAAGGCGAGACGTAGGGGAGTGGGGAGGGGAGGAGACAATGAGCGAGGGATAAGAGGAGGGGAGGGGAGGGGAGAGACAAGGGTTGAGGGCAATGGAGAAACAAGGGTTGAGGTTTAGGAATGGCGTAGGAGGATAATGGACAAGGAGAGGGAGAAGGGGGGAAAGTGGGGGGAAGGACGGGACAATAACAGCGCAACTAATTGTGACAGCTATGGGGAGGTTGAAGCTGTAACGTCAAAAGATAGAGGCATCGCATACAACTTGTGTACAAGAGATAGGGCACACACGAAAGAACCTGTGTACAATAGAGCAGGGAAACAGAAACAGAAGAAGGCAATAGAGACAATTCCAAGTGTGCTCACCGGTGAGACCAATACCGTTGAGCGTAACTTCACCATCTGCGTCAGCTTCACCATCCTGGTCCTCATCGGGCGCATCAAGGGAGTGTACAACGGGCTCATTCGCATTCGTTTCCGACGACCGTTCGTGTCTTCCATACGCCGCGTCCGCCGAAGCTGGAGATGGGGACTTGGGAACGTGTGGGGCTGCAGCAATGAGATCACGCGCCTCTTCCACTTGGCCTAAAGCTGTGCTGTTACGACTCCCACGCTTGGCAGGTCGAGTGCCAAGGCCCTCACCTTGGGCGGCCTTGAACGAGGGTGTTCGACGACGCTTCCCAACCTGCTCATGCTCGGAAGAGGGCAACGACGACATATGCCTAACTTAGAAGGTTTGGGAGGGTGACAAGGCTGGTTCATCAATCACGAAGGGCCAAAAAATGAATAATCCATTGAGGCAATAGGCTCCTTTAAATACTGTGAACGAGCGTTCAGCATGCAGACAGTAAAAGGCGGGAGGCCAATTTACTGCGCGGAAATTCAGCCAGTAGAAAAAAAAAAACCCCTCTGCCATTAGCACATGTGTAAGGTTGAAGTCGCGAGGGCACAAACGGACTACACTCGCGGTACTGGGCACTGCGCGGGAGGTCACGGGGGTGAAGCTCGAAGGGCGGAACCACCAACTTTTGGCGCCCCACCAACGGCCTGAGCTGTGCCATGCGTTGGGGGGAAAACACTGTCGACATCTTCCCTTCGTGCGGATGTTTCTGTGAAAACGAGGCTTTCGACAATTCAGAGTTTGAGAGTTTGAAAGACGGAATCAAGCAGGTGTTCCGTGGGCCGTTGGATCTATGAGCAATCAAGATCTAGAACGTACAATGCAACCTACAGAACACAAGGGAGGGTACAAGCGTGAAGCGAGCTGAATGCCCACTTGCAATCCCAACAGTAACGCGCAACCAAACATTTCGGGTTCACCATCAGCACCCTTGAAATCAGGAAAATGTCGCTGCACTACCCTCCTCTAATTATGTGACCACATCGGGGAATCTCTTAAAGCGGGTCCACGACTCAAGGCAGCAAATGTATGAGGGGGGTAGGGGATGTTAAAACGAAACTGTGATTTTTTTCCCGCCACGAGAGAGCCAAGTGTGCGCATTAACTAAACGTCGAGAAAAACTACCCAAAGGCAATGACAAGGAGGAGACCTTGAAACAGCGTGGTAAATTGGCTGATGTATTACAATGTCGCGTTGTCACACGAACAACAAACTGTGAAAAAATTGCTATCGAATAGTTGGTTTTTTCAATAAGCATTTTTTTTACTTGTGGGTAGTATTCCTAGATCTCTACAACCATGCGGAATCAACTCTGTCTGTTTTCAAATCAGTGTGACCGTTCACACCAGGAGTCCCGAAAAAGTAGGCCGAGAGGAGCTTGGTAGGCAGTAATTTTTTCTGACGCTAGGTGCCGACTGATCGATTCGCGTACACACAGTATTACGCTAGGATCTTGATGGGTGGCGAAAAAAGAGAGAAACTCTAGCGGGCGATTCGAAACACCGAAATAAACGTGGACCATGGACCCTGCGATTTGTCGTTATACTAGCCACTCGCGTTGGAGAACAATGAAACAGTAAAAGATCTTCCGCTGCAAGCTGTCAGGCTGTTTCCTGGATCGGATTTCGTAACATGTGCGCCAGAAACATGAAAGGAAATAACAGCGGATCGAAATTGGCCAGCCCAAAAAAAGTCGGGCTGGTGATTACAGTACACAACCTAAATTCGCGAGACTTTTGCCTAAAAGACTATCTACGAAACCCAAGATTCGTTTCCGTCCAGAACACAAACCATTGCACGTTGGCAAATTCCGCCTTCGACGTGCAATCTTATAAGCCCAGTCCCAATACATGTCTATGTTTTATTATTTACCCCATTCCTCCGAAACCACCGCCACCACCTAGTCCAATGTGGGAATGAAGGACGCGTAATGTACTGCATTGCTGCCTGGCTGTCACCGAAGGACAAACGACAACATCAAAACTGTTATGCGCATGCGCGCCGACTACTTTCAAGATGTCGTAAACGGTACCGGATAAAACGACAAACAATGTCTGGGCATAGTCCTCCTTTGCAGAGGTACGTGCCAAACCATGCAGTCGTGTAACATAGTGTAACAGATGGCACAATATAAAGCCTTACAATGAGCCATTATTCAAATTTTGAACAATTGGGCGCTCGTGTGCCATGTTGGTCGATTCTGAATAGTTTTTGGTAGTGCTATCGAGACGCTCTGGGATGTACCTCAAGACCTCCAATGCACACTACCAGAACTCTGTGCCATTTTTATTTCCATCAAGCTCCTTTTTATTGCTTTGATACACTAAACCAAAAAAAAAGGGCGTAAAAAAGGGTCTTACTTAGGTGAATCTGCAAGTTTTACAATCTGGTGGTGCGTTTAAGGAATGACACACCGAGGCACGCAAAATGACCCTGTGTAAGGCTTCCTTCTTTGGTGCTGTGTACAACTTGCTTGTTAATTGATGCTGCGCTTTGGAGGGATGGTGGTGGGCAATCTGATACACAAGAGGGACAAAAAAGACAGGGCTAAAAAATGTCTGACCTTGGCGAAACGGCATATTTTATAATCTGGTAGTGCGGTCCTGGAATGACACACCGAGGCACACAAGATGCTGTTGTGTAAGGCTTACTTGTTTGATGATGCTGTGCTTTGGAGGGATGGTGGCGGGGGATGAAATACACGAGAGGGAGAAAAAACCAGGGCTAAGAAAGGTGTTATCTTGGTGAAACGGCATATTTTATAATCTGGTGGTGCGGTCCTGGAATGACACATCGAGGCACGCAAAATGCTGCTGTGTAAGGCTTGCTTGTTTTTTGGTGTTTTGCTTTTGTGGGATAGTGAAGGGGGATCTGATACACAATAGGGACAAAAAAAACAGGGCTAAAAAAGGTTTTACTTTGGTGAAACGACATAATTTATAATCTGGTGGTGCCGTCCTGGAATGACACACCGAGGCACGCAAAATGATGCTGTGTAAGGCTTGCTTGTTTTCTGGATGTGTGCTTTGGTGGGATGGTGAGAGGGGATCTGATACACAATAGGGACAAAAAAAACAGGGCTAAAAAAGGTTTTACTTTGGTGAAACGACATACTCTATAATCTGGTGGCGCGGTCCTGGAATGACACACCGAGGCACGCAAAATGCTGCTGTGTAAGGCTTGCTTGTTTTTTGGTGTTGTGCTTTTGTGGGATAGTGAAGGGGGATCTAATACACAATAGGGACAAAAAAAACAGGGCTAAAAAAGGTTTTACTTTGGTGAAACGACATAATTTAAAATCTGGTGGTGCCGTCTTGGAATGACACACCAAGGCACGCAAAATGATGCTGTGTAAGGCTTGCTTGTTTTCTGGATGTGTGCTTTGGTGGGATGGTGAGAGGGGATCTGATACACAATAGGGACAAAAAAAACAGGGCTAAAAAAGGTTTTACTTTGGTGAAACGACATACTCTATAATCTGGTGGCGCGGTCCTGGAATGACACACCGAGGCACGCAAAATGCTGCTGTGTAAGGCTTGCTTGTTTTTTGGTGTTGTGCTTTTGTGGGATAGTGAAGGGGGATCTAATACACAATAGGGACAAAAAAAACAGGGCTAAAAAAGGTTTTACTTTGGTGAAACGACATAATTTAAAATCTGGTGGTGCCGTCTTGGAATGACACACCAAGGCACGCAAAATGATGCTGTGTAAGGCTTGCTTGTTTTCTGGATGTGTGCTTTGGTGGGATGGTGAGAGGGGATCTGATACACAATAGGGAAAAAAAAAAACAGGGCTAAAAAAGGTTTTACTTTGGTGAAACGACATACTCTATAATCTGGTGGCGCGGTCCTGGAATGACACACCGAGGCACGCAAAATGCTGCTGTGTAAGGCTTGCTTGTTTTTTGGTGTTCATCTTTTGTGAGATAGTGAAGGGGGATCTGATACAGAATAGGGACAAAAAAAACAGGGCTAAAAAAGGTTTTACTTTGGTGAAACGACATAATTTATAATCTGGTGGTGCCGTCCTGGAATGACACACCAAGGCACGCAAAATGATGCTGTGTAAGGCTTGCTTGTTTTCTGGATGTGTGCTTTGGTGGGATGGTGAGAGGGGATCTGATACACAATAGGGACAAAAAAAACAGGGCTAAAAAAGGTTTTACTTTGGTGAAACGACATAATTTATAATCTGGTGGTGCCGTCCTGGAATGACACACCAAGGCACGCAAAATGATGCTGTGTAAGGCTTGCTTGTTTTCTGGATGTGTGCTTTGGTGGGATGGTGAGAGGGGATCTGATACACAATAGGGACAAAAAAAACAGGGCTAAAAAAGGTTTTACTTTGGTGAAACGACATAATTTATAATCTGGTGGCGCGGTCCTGGAATGACACACCGAGGCACGCAAAATGATGCAGCGCAGTGTTTGGTTCTCTGATGATGCTGTTATCTGGAGAGATGGTGGGGGGAAGTAATACGCACGAGAGGGAATTAAGAAACCGGTCTACAAAAGATTTACCTAGGTACATTAGCAAATTTCGAGTTTTTGAATCATTTCGAAAGCTCTATCCCCTAATTCACGCAACATGGCCCTTTCTCAAACTCTGGGGGGCATGGTGGTACTGGAACCACCCTGAAATTAAACCACAGATACGAATTGTGGTTGATGGTATATGCGCATGACGTGACCACTACTTTTACCTTTTTTGTAAACATGTTTGGAATTTGATTTTGTTGAAACCATGTAGAACTCCTCGCCACCACTCTTCCTGCTCCCGCCAGCCAAACGAAGTTTGAAACTCGAAGTTCGAACTTCGAATTCTCAAACTTGCCAAACCCCCAATCTGCACCTTGGTCTCTTCCCTACTCCTAACTTGGACCGCGCAAACAGGAGGATTAGGTATAGGCGAGCAATACCTCGTTGCCTACATAGCTAGCATCATTGCACAAGAATGGATCCATTCACGCTAACTGCTTTCCTGGCCTTCCCGTTTGGGAAATATGTCCCATTAGCTAGCACCTTCCGAGAGGTAGAACTCCACTACGATGAAAATTTTTATCCAGCTCACCATTGGTCTTATGCTGACGTGCATAGTCTGCTCATGGTGCGCCTTAGTTTTTTCGGGGTACCGTGCATTGGCGACGCATGAGCGAAGCTTGCAATGTCGCATTGAGCGATGTAGGTTTCAAGAGGAAGGTTACACACAGGGTCCGTACCATCTTGACGAGCATGGTGAGATAGTGCGTGACCCAACGCCGCTTGGGCGTTGCAAGCGTAGTCCAAGTGGAAGCTCATCAAGGTTCACATGGTGGTGCACTTCGAGGAGGCCATTAAGCGGGGTGGGCTTCCAGAGGAGTACTCAACAAACATGTACGAGCACTTTCACAAGGACTGTGTGAAGAGGCCATACCGGGCATCAAACCGGCGCGAGTGGACAGAGTCGATCATCAAGAGCAACCAGTTCCACCAGATGCTATCAGAGGTGGAGAGCGACATCAAAGAGGAGAGAGAGTACAACTCAGCGTTCTACGAGGTAGGACTCTACATTCTCAAAATGCTTGAAGCCATCGTCCAATTGGCATAACCTTATTAAGTGACCAACCCCCATTCCCCATGCAGGCCGATACGGAGGGCAAGCGCGTCCTCCTCCGCACGCACGTAGTGTTCCACATGCAGGGGAGCACAGCTCGCCGTAGCAAAACTGACCAGTTTGAGATCTGGAACACGGCACTTGGTGGGAGATTGACCACCTTGCAAGATGATCTTGAGAGTTATGATTTGACCCCGCAAACCCTTCATGTGAGTCCACTCTCCCACCCAACTCCTATGCCACATCCCGTTAACTGTAGAAACCCCATCTCTGGCCCATATCACCCATCTAGCCTCCCTTGGTGGTTTGACCTGCCATGCATATCTCTGGCCCATATCACCCACCTAGCCTCCCTTGGTGGTTTGAGACTTGCCATGCATATCTCTGGCCCATATCACCCATCTAGGCTCCCTTGGTGGTTTGAGACTTGCCATGCATATCTCTGGCCCATATCACCCATCTAGGCTCCCTTTGTGGTTTGAGACTCGCCATGCATATCTCTGGCCCATATCACCCACCTAGTCTCCCTTGGTGGTTTAAGACTTGCCATGCATATCTCTGGCCCATATCACCCATCTAGGCTCCCTTGGTGGTTGGAGACTTGCCATGCATATCTCTGGCCCATATCACCCACCTAGCCTCCCTTGGTGGTTTGAGACTCTCCATGCATATCTCTGGCCCATATCACACACCTAGCCTCCCTTGGTGGTTTGAGACTTGCCATGCATATCTCTGGCCCATATCACCCATCTAGGCTCCCTTGGTGGTTGGAGACTTGCCATGCATATCTCTGGCCCATATCACCCACCTAGCCTCCCTTGGTGGTTTGAGACTCTCCATGCATATCTCTGGCCCATATCACCCACCTAGCCTCCCTTGGTAGTTTGAGACTTGCCATGCATATCTCTAACCCATATCACCCATCTAGGCTCCCTTGGTGGTTTGAGACTTGCCATGCATATCTCTGGCCCATATCACCCATCTAGGCTCCCTTTGTGGTTTGAGACTTGCCATGCATATCTCTGGCCCATATCACCCACCTAGTCTCCCTTGGTGGTTTAAGACTTGCCATGCATATCTCTGGCCCATATCACCCACCTAGCCTCCCTTGGTGGTTTGCGACTTGCCATGCATATCTCTGGCCCATATCATCCACCTAGCCTCCCTTGGTGGTTTGCGACTTGCCAGGTATATCTCTGACCCCTTTGTTCTCCCTGTCCTCTGTCAATATCGGTCGACATGGCTTGCCACACACCTCTCTGCCCCATCTGAGTTCCCTTGTCTCCTTTTTCTCTTTGGGGATTGTGAAGGACCTCTGTGCCCTTTTTCTCTGGACACCCTTACAAATTGGGTCATGCTCTGCACCCTGCTCTCCCCATTCCAAGTCCGCTAATATGTTGTCCTCTTCAAAACACCCCACGTGTTCCCATTGCTATCCACACTTCAACCCCCCATCCCATACACCCATTGCCCCACCCTGCTCTGCCACCTTGTCAACTTCTAAGCAGGTCTTTACAGGGATGGCAGTTCCAGCAGGGTCAAGTACAGCAGACTCTAGAGTCACGCACTTTGTTCGAGCAAACCCGTCCCACCATGGGCAACTATGGTTCTCGCATGCCGCTATTAGAGGCGCCGGTGATGAGGTTTGGTATGGGGAGATCCTGCTGCTCTTTAAAATCCTTGGTAGTGATGAAAGGTTTGCGTATGTCCAGTACTACGATGTGATCCGTGTTGATGCCCTCACTGGGTGCAAAGCACTGCGAGTGGCAAAGGCCCCCGGTACACAGCGGGTGTACCGTGACATCATTGATGTCGACACTATCTTCCGAGCCGTGCATATCGTAGAATCTTTTGCTCGTCCGGGCACATTTATGTTGAATGATTATTTATTTGACTAAGCTTGTGGTGGTACGCAGTGAATGCACACCTACTGGTTGATCTCAATTGAAGTCCAAATATAACATGCCAATTAAAGAGACATTCCTATGGAATAATGGCTTATTTCAAAGAAGTACTTGCAAAGGTTTATACTTCATTTTTACAACACGATTTTGCATAGATTTTATGAATTAGCTCCAAAAATAAAATTACATTAAAGCAATTTTCTAAGCATAACGAAAAGGCATGTATATCTCGTACTGAAACAGCATCCGAAAGCATACTCGATTCTGCACGAATGCCCTTACCTAGGGTTTTCCTTACTATTTGTGCGAGCAGCGACACACACGTTTTGGAACCTCGAAAACCCCCTACCAAAATAGGGTTCCGCATTTTTGCGATGGAGAGGGGGAACGCGGAACCGAGGAGGGGAGGGACGAATGGAGCGGGGAGAGGGGGGAAAGATGGCGAGAGGGGGAACGGAAATCGAAGAGAGGGGGGAAGGATGGCGAGGAGAGGGGGACGGATAGCGAGGAGAAGGGGAACGGGGAGCGACCAAAGGGGGGACAGATGGCGACGAGAGGGGGAAAGGGATGACAACATCACAAAAATGTGGATCTCTCCTATATTGTAGGTATAGTTGTTCGTATAGCAAGGCTACTCCGTAGCAGACGTACCTATGCCATACCTACTGTATACCTACTCCGTATTTCTGATCCTGGAATTTTGAGATGAAGGAGAGGGAGAACGGAAAGCGAGGAGAGGGGAGGGCGAAATGGCGGGGAGAGGGGGAAAGGATGGTGGGGAGAGGGGGAAAGGATGGCAGGGAGAGGGGGACAGCAAGGCAGGGAGAGGGGGAAACGATGGTGGGGAGAGGGGGAAAGGATGGCGGGGAGGGGGAAAGGATGGCGGGGAGAGGGGGAGAGGATGGTGGGGAGAGGGGGGAAGGATGGCGGGGAGAGGGGGAAAGGAAGGTGGGGAGAGGGGGAAAGGATGGCAGGGAGAGGGGGAAAGGATGGCGGGGAGGGGGAAAGGATGGCGGGTAGAGGGGGAAAGGAAGGCGGGGAGAGGGGGGAAGGATGGCGGGGAGAGGGGGGAAGGAAGGCGGGGAGGGGGGGAAAGGATGGCGGGGAGAGGGGGACGGAAGGCGGGGAGAGGGGGAAAGGATGGCGGGGAGGGGGACGGAAGGCGGGGAGAGGGGGAAAGGATGGCGGGGAGAGGGGGAAAGGATGGCGGGGACAGGGGGACGGAAGGCGGATGAGAGGACGTGGAGCGATGGTTGGGAGGGCCTCAAGAGGGGGAAGAGAGGGCAAGAAGAGAGCAAGGGAGGGCGAGGAGGGTAGAGAACGGAAGGCGAGGGGACATCGGGAGAGGGGTAGTGGAAGGGGGGTAACCGAGGGCGAAGACACCAGCAGGAGAGGGTGAGGGAAGGCATATGAGGTGGGGGGAAGAGTCTAAGCAGCGACGAATGGGAGCGTGAAATGAAGGAGGCGAATCTGTCGGTTGACAAGTCGGCAGATCCTCCACCTCTAGATCTCGTGCCCTCGCCGCCGGCATCTGCATCAACATCATCGGCTAAGAAGAGACGACGGTACCAGCAGAGGCATCTGCCCTTCACGCCTCCTCCCAAGACAACGCCGCTAGCAACCCATGCCTCCGTCGTTGAAGCAGAGCGACCCCTCGCGCCAACGTCGGCCGAGAAGAAGGCAAAAACTTATCTTGCTGCTCATAAGAAATATATCTCATACTGGCATAGAAGGTTTCCTTGGCTCGTCCTGGATAAAACTGACTATGGCTCACCCTGTTTACGTTGCAGAGTGTGCATGCAGCATGGCTAGCTGACAGCCCGCTACGGTCGCGATGGGCCTGGCGGCAAGGACTTGCAGATTGGCAGCATGCGGTGGTACGAGGAGAGCACCAAGCATGAGGCCTGCGTGCAAAAGCAAGCTCACCTCAACAAGGAAATCTACAACCACAAACGCATGGACGACTTCGCCAAGAACGACCCCGATGCTGCCCGCGTCATCAGATTTCTACGCTCCATGCTATTCATCTGTAAGAAAGATGCCTCGATTTTGATGTTCACACGTCTAATCGGTCACCTGGTGCAGGAAGGGGTGAAGGACATACCTAAGCAGACTTATGGCGCGTACATCACGAAGTAAGCACGCAGTTGTCATGTTTGTGTAATCTATTGAATACTGGACAGGTGTCTAATCTGTTGTCTTATTGTATGGTGTTTGTCAGATATGGATTCAGGGAGATGATAAAAGCCATGGTGGCTTTCTTGAAGGCGCAGCAGATGGAGCACATCTACTCCTCCCCGTTCATCGTCATCAGCTGCGACGAGAGTACCGACCGCACCCACGGAAAGCACCTCATCGTCTTCGGCACCTTCTTGAACAAGCAGCGCATTGTCACTGAGTTCCTGAGCCTGCTCACCATTGACAAGTGTGATGCCGTGTCGCTCCAGTCTGTCCTGCTGGGTCACCTGGAGGGGAGTGGCATCGAGCTTCAGAAGATCGCTGGTATTAGCACCGATGGGGCGTCGATGGTGACTGGCGAGAAGAACGGGCTCGTCGCTCGTCTCCGACTGCGTATCCCGCACCTTGTCGCTTGCCACTGCATCGCACATTGGTAAGACTACCATTGCAGTACCCTCCTGTCTATGTCTCTGTGATTAGCGATGCATATTTCTAACATCACTTGTGCCTTGGTGCCATCGCAGAGAAGCGCTGGCAGTCAAATACGCTTCCAACTCCTTCCCCGACCTGTTCATCGTCGACGTGATCATCCGAGCTTTCGGGGAAATCGTCGGTCGCTCGACTCCGGGGTACGAGAAGTTCAAGGCTCTACAGTTTGTCATCCACGACACGAACCTCGAACATCAGGGGCTCTACGCCATCAGGTGGCTTGCACGTGGTGACGTTGTGCGGCGACTCTGCAGGATTCTTGGCGCGATCATCGTCGTCTTCATCTAGTACAAGTACAAGCACGTCGCGCTGCTGAATTCCTACAAGTTCCACTTCTGCCCTACTTCCTCGCCGACATCCTCGCTGAGCTCAACACTAAAAACAGGTTATTCCAGCGCCGCACGGTAGGTTGATTCGTTTTCGTTCCTGCCGCGGCTCGTTGAATTGATTAATATCTTTGGTGTGCGTCTGGCGGGAAACTTGTTCTAACGTCCGTGCCCTTTGCCCTTGCCCTCCCGCCCCGACCTTCAGGTGGACATCACGCTCGCCATCGAGGAGGTCAACCGCACTGTCCCCTACATCAAGCACCGATACATCGAGTACGGGGAGCGGTTCGGCGGCGGGCTAAGCAAGCAGCTCGACAAGTTCCTCGCCCGCTACAAGGAGAGCAAGGGGTCGCTCGAGGTGCACGGAATCGCGGCGGATGGCTCTCCCTGCACGCAAAAGTTCGAGCTCACCATGTCGCGCATCCCAGGACATGCGTTCGGCGGCACTCCTTCCGACTGCGAAGACCTTCGCATGGCGTTCGCCAAGGAGACAGTGGGGTGCTTGGAGGGGTGGTTGTGGGACATGAAGCAGATGGAGGGGTCGAAGCTCTACAAGGTGGACCAGTGGCTCAAGAAGACAGAGGTGCGGGAGCGCCGGTGCAGCAAGTGGGCCGAGTAGAACATGGCGCTGTTCGACAACAAACTGCCAGGTCAGGGGCTCTAAAAGTGGTCGTTGTCGTATGTCTTGAATCTGGTTAGATAAGGTGCCTCCTCTGTTACTTCAACACCTCTCCTTTTCATGCCACGAACGCCCCTACCCCCCCCCTCCCTCCCCCCCGCCAACAGGGGTCGAAATGCGAGCGATGAAGCTGGAGCTGAAGACCTTCTGCCACATCAAAAAGACTCACCGCAAGGATGACAACTTCGCCCAGGGCTTGGCCAAAATGATGAAGACGAAGGACTGGTCCAAGTCCTACCCGAACCTGATGCGGATGTGGCAGGCGCTGGTGGTGTTGCCCTTGAGCACCGTCGAGTGCGAGCGTGGATTCTCACGGCATAACGTCATCAAGGGATGGCATCGCACAAGCCTGTGTGATGCCACCCTTTGTGAATTGATGACCATCAGCATGCTGGACTGCGACATGGACTACCCCAAGATCGTGGAGAAGTGGAGGCGCTTTAGGCACCGTAGGCAAGCTAGGAATGTTGAATTTGAGCAAGAAATTCCCCTTTTCACAGCAGAAGGATACCGCAGAGAGCTCAGAGGATGAGAGTGCCGTAGGTGGGAGTGAGGATGACGAGGATGATGATGATGATGAGTTAGTCATGTAATGTTATGCTATGCTTCATTGTAAAAAAAAATTGCTGCTGTCAATATTTTACTTTTTGCAACTAGCAGTCTCAGCAGAGCCAGAAGAAATACAACCCTGACTAGCCAAAGAAAATAAAATAAAATTATGGGGTTACTCTGGTGCCTCAGGGAAAATGTTGAGGACCACTCTGGTTTTTAGAGTAGTAGTGAAAGAAACTTCCATATTTCGGAGTACCGTAAACGCCCGGATAGAAGACCCCCATGGAATAGAAGGCACTATGTCTTGTATTAGGCGTCTATCTTGTATTCGGCCTCTCCGTTTATAAGACACATTTTGTTTGTCAGTATGAGACCCAAGTGACGTACACTCCTGACAAACCCAGTAAGCGCTTTTTGCCCACCAAAAAAGGTCTCCGTTTATAAGCATCTTTTCCATTTATAAGAAACCCAGAACTCCTGTTTTTTTCCGTTTATAAGAAACTTCACCACTTTCTTCCTCGGTATATGATAAGACATAGGGGTTTTCTATCTGGGCGTTTACAGTAGTGAAAAACCAAAGATCAGCACTGCTCATGGCTAAGCATATCTTCGAAGCATCCGCAAAGCAAAAACAATAATAACATGCAAACAGAACTAAGCCACGTTTCGTAGCACGGGCTTTTGAAACCCCCCTCACCACCGTTTGCCAAAGCCCAGCCAGCACACCCCTACTTTCCTCCATGCTTCCCTCATACCTAACCTTCTCCATATCCTCCCCCTATTCTTGCCCATTTGCATGCGGCGCCAAGAGCTGTACCTCCAGGCTGGCAAGCAGGACAAGCATGGTGCCAGTGGCAGCGGAGATGCTAAGTGTTTCTCCCAGCAGGAAAAATGCCAAGGGACGTCCCCAGAGGGGGCTCATGGTGAGAATGAGCGAGCATTGAAGGCCTAGAGCTGCAGAACCGTTCACAATCATGATTAACCGAAGAGCCAGCTTGGCAGGAAAGACCGAGGGCTGTTTGCATTCTGCTGCTGCTGAGCCGCCTGCACAGCCGCACCCAGCGAAGGCATCCCCCCCTGGGCAGCCTGCACGGATTGCGTGGACTGCACAGCAAGGGACTGATTCCCGAACCTCCCCCCCTTCTCATACCTGTTCCCATTCCCCTTCTGCCCTTCGCCCTTATCCCCTCGCCCGGCCGCGCCCCACCCGTTCCCCCCATTCCCCCCGTGTCCCCTATTCTTTTTCAGCTCCGCGGCTTCCTTCTACTCTTTCGCCACCTTCTGCCCCGCGGCACTGCATGCGCTTAAGCCGGCGGCGGCGGCGGATGCGCCGCTGGCGACGTTCTGCTGCGCGGCGGCGGTGGCCTCCGTGTTCTGGCGCTTCTTTGTCGCGTCCGCCAGGGCTTTCTTAAAGGTCTTGACATTGTTCTGCACGGCGTTGTAGGAATCAAGCTTCTTCTTAATCGGAGCGAGGCTCG